ACACTCCACTTACTGCTATAACAAGCTAGAGAAACACTAGGGTCTGCAGAAGGCTCCTGGGCTGCGTCTACACTGGTCAGCCAAGCCAGGGTGTGGGCAAATAGCAACCATCTGGAGATGGAAACACCCAGAAGACCTCTTGGGTAGGACTCGGGTATTAGGTTCCAATAATCACATAGTTTCTGCTCTCCATCTTGCTTTGTCTGCACCGGGCTCAGTTGAAGCCCATGCACCCAGCTTTAGAACAGAACTGAAAACATTCCATTCTCCCAGAAGGCTCCTGTCACTACCACTTGTTTTCTACAGTACCTAATCTTGAGGTGCATGTAAACAGGTGTTTACTAAATTACTTTAATGCTGACAGCCATGACTTGGAGTGTTGTTTCATTATCAGAATGTTAAGCACTCATGGTGCTAAATATTTACCACCTGATATTCTGTGAAACAATTCCCCATGCCTTGTTTTTAAGAAATCAATCTTCATTCCACTCCCTCCACAGTGCCCAACATTAACCTAGGCAACAGAGAGGAAGAGACTCCTGAAACAGACTATATCAGTGTGACTATTTGCTAATCAGTCTTGCCATGAAGTCCCCAAGTGTTTCCCAAACAGGCTGTGGACTCTTTATTGCACAATAGAAGTGCAATCATCTCCTGCGACTGGACACAGAGCACTGATCTATCTCAGGGGCCAAAAAGGAAGAGCTGGTGTAGGCTGGCTGACCTGTAACTCCTGCATCACCCACCTCCGCCACATCAGGCCGAAAGAATTACTGTAAAAGGAAGAGAGCTCAGCCAGCCACTTACCCCTTCTTAACCCGGTGGCAAGAGTTCCTGAGATCTCAGAGAACTTGCTACAATTCAGAACACCAAGAAAAACAGGGAGAGAAAAGAAAATGCCAGCAGTTGGGAAAACACCTCTGAAACCCAGAGCAAACCTCAGTGACTTCCTAAACCAGGTCCTGAAGCTCTTCTGCCATCACTCAGCAGACCAGGAAGATTGAAAGTCGGCTGTAAGGTGTACCTGGTTGTTTGTGTGGGCTTTCCCCTGACAAAAGTTAGGGAGGTGTCTTCTGGCCTTGAGCCAAGTGACAGCTCTGTAATCCCACAGGTTAGATCCCTAACTTCAGATGGCCTTAGGCTCTGCCAAGGTCCTCTGGTTCCTAACCCATCCCTGGCAAATGAGGGAGAAAATCAGGATGCAGCCAGGGCAAGTTCAAAAGGATCCTCAGGGCGCTGCAGGATGCCGTCTGTGCCGGAAGTAAACAGAAATCTGAGGTAAGAGTGTGCAATAGAGCGGGAGATAGCCAAAGGGGGTTTCCATGACCAAAGGATGAAAAGGTCAGAGGGCCTGGGGCGGGGGTTCCTTCGTTTGATGCCATGGAGACACACACTGGCCTTCCTGGTCCTCTGCACCGAGGCAGGTATGGGCATGGAAAAAAAAAAGGCACAGCTCAAACAGGAAATTGTCTCCGGTTTGCCCCCACCTCTTTGCTCACCTGACAGGCCCTGGAGCCCCTGGCCTGACTCCTAAGCCCTGTAGCGCCACCTACTGGGAGAGGCAGAAGCCACATTCACTGCAGGTTTTGCCCAGTCTGCACTTACTTCATGCAAGAGCGCTTCCAGTCAGGCATCCAGCCCCTGGAATGTGCCGATCATTCAGCACACTCCTTGGGCCTCTGTGTTAGGTCCTACTCACAGAAGAACCCACCTCAAGCAGTTTTAAGTAGAAGAGAAACTGAAGGAGCCTACTCCAGGGCAGTTAAGAAATAGTTCTAGGAGCTAATGGCTCACCATGGCATTTGCAAAGTACTATCCCTATAGCATCCACCTGCCAAGAACACGTCTCCACTTAATATAGAGTAGAAAAGTCCAAACCACCTTAGGAGTCTGCATTATCAGTGTTCCTCTCTGCAACACCCTGGGGCAGTCGGGTGCATTGAGTTCTGTGTATTGTACTTCTAATAGCTTTTTCTTATTCAGTGTGTGTGTGTGTGGTTTAAATACCATTAGCATGTATTCTATGGAAATAACGAATAATCTTTTTTCATGTCCTATTCTGATACATTGAAAAGCACCTCAACATTACTAGGAACAGCATTTTGAACCCCAAGAGCCCTTTCCCACAGCATGCAGAGAGGGAAGCTAATGTCAAGCTTTCTTTAACTTGTACAAGCTGAGGGGTAAGCAAGGTTGTTCTCTGTCACTTGGAAAGAGAGTTAACTGTGATCATTATATTATACTTTATCATGATTTCTATTCTACTGTACAGCTAAGAAGTTAAAGAAAAGCACAGTGTGTCTTCTACTCCGCTCTGCCTTGTCTCCAGCAGATAAGGGACATTCTGATGTTTTATTTGTTAAATGGTTGACTATTAAGAAAAACTCATTTACTAGCTGGAGTCTACAATGGAAAATCAGCCCAGAAAAGTGGGAGGCTGGCATGGAACCAGAGCAGATAGGTCACCAGAGGTGAGGCACGGCTTGCCTGTGTCACCCCCAGGCCTGAAACCCAGGGTCAGAAGCCAGTCCTTCCATGAACTTCCAGCTTGTTCCAAGGTGCTGGCCTCTGGCCTCTGGCCTCCATGGTCTGACCCTTAGCATGAGCACACCCACGTGTGTGCACACACATACACACCACTAAAAAGCTGAGGGGTGGGAGCGTATGCATGCAGTTTTTAACCATGTTGAAAGAAAAGAAAGCCCAGCCCAGCCACCTGGCAACTTTTTGGTCCGCCACTCTGGTTCGTCACCATCACTGATCTGAGGTCATCATTTGGCATCTCTTCTCTCTCTGCCTCCTGAAACTCTAACCCCCAACTATGTCTCATCGCCCCATGAGTTATCAAGCCAGCCACTTCTTCCCCGTAAATATTCATGCTCCTCCAGGTCTGTCCTCCCCACCTCCATCACCTTCCCCCATCTGCCCCCCAATGGGCAGATGGGTGGGCAATGCCAGTCAATCAAGGGAGAAGGGATGGAAAACAAGGAGGGGACAAGGATCTTGGTACTTTCACCTGAGAACCGCATCTAGGAATGGAGGCAAAATTGCTCATGTGAATTATATAACCACTGCAGCTTCAAGGGAGAGAAGTAGAAGCCAGGTTGCTATAGTGTTTGTTGGCATGTTACTGGAAAGGTAGAGCTCCCAGCCGCTGATTGATTACTCGCTCACTTCCCCTCCATCATTCTCCACAACCTCTCAGGGTTGGCGCTCCTACTTTTAATGCCTGCTCCCTGCATGGGCTTGGGGGTGATGTTGAGGAGTTTAAGAAAAACAAAAGAAAAGAATCAGGTTAAGGAAATGGGCTAAGAAGGGGTTTATCCTACACTAGACCTTGCCAAGTATTTAAGATGATTGTTACGTGAGTAAGAACTATCATTGCCACAGTGTAGTTGGGATAATAGTGTGTGGTCTCCTTGCAAGGTGCCTTAGACTGAGATGAGTACCTGAAGGGGAGAATCCATCCCCACTCTTCAAAAACATCACCCTTTCTTTTGTGTCTCATTCCCTCCCTCTAATCCTTCCCTGAGTGTCAGCTAGGAAAGACTGGGAGGTGGGGGGGGGGGAACATGAGGGATGGAAACACCATATAGAGAAACCCATGGATTGAAACTGCCCTGGTGACCCCACAGCCCTGGCTTACCCTTGACAAGAGTCTTTCTTCCCCCGGAGGCCAAAATCCCCACACTGTCACCCCAGCTGGAAAGCTGGCCCCCAAATCAGCTTTAGGATGGAGGGAGAACAGGCAGGCAGTCTGGAAAGGGCAATGGCCCTGTCCACAAATGGTAAAGATGGGGGCAAAAAAAGGGAGGAGGCTGGACCCGAAGACTCCTCCTTCCACAGGGCTGGTCTTTGGAGGATCACTTGGAAGTACCCCAGAAGGAACAGAGACCAACAGCGACAGGCATTCAGGGGAATGGAGGGGAAGAGTGACGGAGGCTGGGAAGCAGGAGAGAAAAGGGAGACTACACCCAAAGGGACAGAGAGTCGGGAGAGGAGAGGCCGCTGAGGATGCAAGACAGGCCAGGAGGACCACCCTGTCCACACCCCGTGATAACCTTAATTGCCGAACAATGTCAAAAATAATAACTTATTAATATGGGGTGGGGGAGAAAGTTTCCAGGAGTAGGGAGTTACCTGAATGCCTTTCACCATCACAGGGGGAACCTGGTGACACTTGATGCCCAGGATAGAGAGGCTCAGAACACACTGGGCAATAGTATGGAGCCGCGTGAGCTAGTCACACCCTTTCATTATTTCCTTAAAACATGGAAAAGGCAAAGCCCACACACCGCCCGGCTTCTCACTGCTTCATCCTCAGGTGCTGGCCCACATGGGGGTGCGAATCAGAACACGCGAGGCGTGGGCGCCCTCGGGGTCAATGGCAGTGGAGGGGGGTGGTGCAGGTGAGCCAAGAAAGGAGGAGGATGGAGAGAGGGAGAGGGGGGCGCGCTGAGACTCACATCTGCATCCCCGCCCCCACCCGCCACCTGGAGCGCGCTGCCCAGGGAAGCGGCGCCAGGGAGCGTGGACGCCCGGCGGCCCTAGGGGCCGGAGGGGCGCGGGGCCCGCCTGCTGGGGGTGCGCGCGCACGCTCCCCGCCGCGCCCGGGCCGGGCGAGGGACCCAGGGCAGCTGGCGCCCCCTCCCCCAGGCGCGGCTGGCCGGGTAGTCCGGCTTTCCAGGCAAACGCGAGAAAGCGAGGCAGCAGCAGCCACTTGGGGAACTTTTCCCCCCTCGCCTGGAATTTCATCGGAAACACATGCTCGGGAGAAGCCGGGGCCGGGGAGGCGGAGGGGGAGGGGCGGGAATTTTCCGCTCCATGTCGCGCGGCGGTTCGGGCCCCGGGTCCCACCGGGCTCCCGCGTCCCTCGCGGACGCGGCCCGGGCCACTCCGCAGGGACCGGCCGCGGAGAGCGCGCGGGCCGAGCAGGAACCGGAGGGAGAAGGCGGGGAGCCCGGGCTAGAGCCTCGGGAGGTGGCGGCGTCCAGCCTTACCTTGGTGGTTTTCCTCTGGAATGTACATCCTCGTATTTTCATTGACCATTGACCAAAAATTGTTGGAAAAGGAGAAGCCACAAAGAGGAAGCAATATAAAAACACCCCCCGAGCGGGTCTGGATTAATCCCTCCTCCGAGGTCGGCGGCTTTCGTGCAAAAATTCGAGGAAGCCGTGGATCCGCAGTGTTTCTTCTTCCCTTCTGGTGATTACCTGATTCCCATAATTGCATCAAACACCAAAAACTGCTCCTTTCCACTACTGCCTCCTTTAGTGAGCTTGTAATGCATCCTCAGTACATCCGGGCCCCTTCCAAGAATTTAGCACCGCACCTCTGGCGGCTACACCATTTGAAAAAATAGATCGAGAGAGGCAGAGCGAGGAGAGGCGGAAAGGAGGGGCGAGGGACAGCGATGGACCCCGAGGCGCGGGGCCACCAGGGGGCCGAGGCGTCTCTTGCCCACTGTTGACGAGTCCTCCCCGAGGTGCCTGCCCGGCGTCTTTCTGTCAAAAAAAAAAAGAGCCAGCAACTCCTGAGGACGAGGAGGCAGGAGAAGCCGCCGCTCCGGGCCGCGCCGCGCCGCGCCGAGCGCCGTTCTGGCAGGGAGCTGTTTCTGCAGAGGCAGAGAGAGGGAGACACCGGGCGCGCGAGAGCGCCGCGCTCACTCCCTCCCAGCCCAGCCCGCCGCGCCCGCGCCCTCCCCTGCCCGCCCGCCCGCCCGCCTGCGCCCGCCCGCCCGCCCGGCGCGCTGGAGCAGACGCGCTGAACGCTTCCAGATGTGGCGGCGGCGCGCGGGCCGCGGGCGCACGGCGCGGGGCGCAAGGCGCGGACTTGAACCTGAACTTGAGCTCCTGCGGCCGCGCCGCGGGAGCAAGCCCTCCGCCCTCATGACGTCAAGGGAGCCGGTTGGGAGAGGGGCGGCGGGCGGGCGGGCGGACCGGCAAGGCGAGCCCCCGGGGGAGGAGGACTGGAACGGGGCGGCCGCGGCGCGGACACACCCCCTGGCGCCCAGCAGACCCACCGCGCACCCGGGCCTGCAGCCCCGCAGCCCTGCTTCTGCTAGGCGGCAGCGGCGCGTCCCCACCCGGCCCGCCACGCCGGGAAGGCCTCTGTGCGCGGAATTCCAAGAAGAGGGAATAGCATTTTGCCCAACTCGCCGCCTCTTTTTCAGATCGGGCCACTGAACAAAACGGCAAAATGAGCCGTGATTCCGTAATTCTGTTGGATCAATTATAATCAGAGCGGTTGTAGAAGTGACAGAGAGAGATGAGGATGGGAAGAGGGGAGGGGGAGACAGCAAGAACCCGAGAGGCGGAGTCTCATGGGTAAGGCAGTGGTGCCCAGATGTCTGAACAGATTAATAGAGCCAGGTTTTCTGATTCCTTGGAGGCTGGCGAGCGCGTGTTCTGCTCGGATCTCCTTACCTACTTCTCTTAATTATTTCTGCCACTCTGGCAGGAATCTGTGGAGCACCTCTCGTTTTCCGGGAAGCAGACACTTCTCTCCATCTCTCATTGCAACCACAGCTAGATCCACGGCACCCCCTGCAGGCCCGGGATCCTCTAGATGGGGCTTGATGATCCCTTTCTAGGGGACCTACAACCCTCTCAGGGGAACCTGGCCTGTCTGTCCTTGGACCTCACTTCCCCATCCCCTCTCTATCCCTGGGTGATCTTACCCATTCCCGTGGCTTTAAGCAACTGTCTGTACCAAATGTATATCTTCAAACTAGACCTTTCTCCTAAATTCCAGACTCCAGCCAACCTGCACTTGAATGTCTAATAGACTTTTCACACAGCCTTCCCCAGCTCAGCTGATGGCAATACCAGCCTTCTGGTTGCTCAGGTCAAAAACCTAGATTCATTCTTGACTTGGTTCTCTCACCACACAACTGCATCAGAAAATACTGTACATGCAGAACTGGATGGACCTTTTCTCAGCTCCTCGGCTGTCACCTCCTGCATTTGGTTTCTGCAGTTGCCCTCCTCCTCCCCTCCTTGGCTCCATTCTCAGTCCAACAGTCAGGGAATCCTTTAAAATGTATAAGGGTAGATCACAGCACTCCTCTGCTCCCAACACTCCAGTGGCTCCCCATGTCACTTCATGAAAGCCAGCATCCTCACAATAACCTATAAAGACCTACAAGGTGTCTGTGTACACCTTAGATAACACCATTTTCTGTGCTCCAGGTACACTCCTCCCTGTAGTCCCCAACCAGTCACTCCAGGACTGATTCCTCCTCTCTCCCTTCCACACACTTACAGACCTCCAGCCCTCTGCTTTGGCTGTCCCCACTGCCCAGAAGGATCCTGCCCCAGACATCCACTTAGAGACTCCTTCACCCCCTTGGAGACCTTGCTTAAATATCACTTTCTCAATGAGGCCCACCCCGATCTCACCCTGAGTTAGTACTGTGACCTGCCAACACTCACCAACACTCCCAGTCTCCCCTTACTCTACCTTTTATGTGGTATTTAACCTCCGGCTAACAGTGTACAGCTTACTTATTAATTTTATTGTTTAGTGTCTGTAATCCCCACTAAAATGTAAACTGCATAAAGGCAGGAATCTTGTCCATTTATTCACCAGTGCCTGGAGCAATGTCTGGCAGGTAATAAAATGTGTAATAAATACATGTCAAATGAATGAATGCCTGAGATGCTTTCTGGAGGGCTGCAATACACTGTGTGACTGCCTCTGTCCTCTGGTCGATAACCTGAAACCCCACCACTCCTGCCTCATTCCTTTGTACCATGGTTTTGGCCCCAGGTTAAAATGTAAGTGGCCCTAGGAGAGATATTAAGCTTTATCAGCCATCTTCATTCTAGCGTGAATAAGGTCTAGATTTTGTTGATTATAAGAGAAAGCTGACTTCTTCACCATCTCTGGTGTGTGCACACTCAATTTTCAACCTCAAAGAGAAAATTAGAAATGACCCCAATCCAAATATTTCTATTTCCTTTAGAAGGCTTGTATGTCAGACACTGGGGTAGCTGGTTATTCATTTAAACTGGTGGTAAAATTGGTTTGCACCACCTTTACACCACAACACAGGACAGTCATGGCCAACACTATCGAGTGCTCTCTGCCAGGTGCTCGGACAGGTGTTCTGCATGTCACCTCATTTAATCCTCATTGCTACGCTATAAGGTAGTTGTCATTACTATCCCCACGTTACAGATGTGGCAACTGGGACTTACGTTCCATGGCCAGGGTCACTGAGGTGGTAAAATGAAGATCGGGATTTCGCCCAGGAGCATCTGGCACCAAAATCATGTTCGGCACCAAAATCACATTCCTCCCATTAACCTACTCTCTCTTCTGAGGGGATGGCTGAGGGTAAGCTGGCAGGGGTGGGGCTGCAGTTAGTTCTTAATGATGGCAGAATGATTGCAAAGTGCTTCTCAGAGAGCCAGGTAATTGAGAAGGGAGTGAATGTGTGTTAGGGGGTCATAGGCTGGATTTATAGCCCAGCTTTTCTGAAGGTAGGTGCTGTGTAAATCTAACAAGTAAATACTACCTTCATGCTTCTTTGGTTTCATTTTTCACTTCTCTTTTCATCTGTTAAATGTGTTCTTTCCTTTCCAGAAAAAAAGTATTTCCTAAATGTTTGGTCTTGCAATGTACACCCATATTCCAGCTTCTTACTTTGGAACTCAGCCCTGGGAGCTCTTTTTCAAGGTAACAGATTCCCAGTGTGCCAACTGAGACCATTTAGAATCCTGACCTGTGGATTTGGGAGTGGTGGAGTAGAGAGAGGAGAGACTTGAACCTTCCTTTTTTATTGAAGGTTTGATTCCCAGGCTGAAGGTTCTCTCCTTCTCCTCACCCTATAGTTTTCATTTGTGCCAGTCTTTCTACACAGTATTAGACGTGTATGTGCATGTACCTACACACACACTACACTTTAAATGTCTTAAGGAGGAGAACTGTGCTCATTCCTCTTTGTGCATAACATAATGCTTTTTACATACGGGCACTCAATGTCTATTTACTGTGTGATTTACTCTGGGAAAGATTCCTTACTATGACCACAAATATTTCCTTTGGAAGCAATTAAGAGTGCACTGAACTTGTTAATTACAGTGTATTTGTGAGAGTGAAAAACTTGAAAATGATCTAAATACTCAAAAATGTTAATGAAGTAGTAACATTGAGAGATTATTCCAAGTGCCGCCCATGTATGAAGTAATATACACCTCAGAACAAGCCCATGAAGGAAGTGTTTCTGTTCTCATTTTATAGGAGAGGAAATGAAAGCACAGAAAGGTTTATTCACTTGCCCATGTTTTCACAACTAGCAAAAGTGTTGGAAGACTCAGGATTTGAACCCCTGCAGCTGAGCTTCAGTCTATTCTTTTAGCCAATGTATGGATAGACTAGGGTACTTTCATACAAGGTAATCTGACAGATGTGGATAATATCAAGATATCAAGAAGGAATATGACATGGAAAAAGACTACACCAGAAGAAAAACCAGTTTAAAATATTATATAAGGAATGATTCCATTTTTCTTAAAGACGGGTGTATACTTGAATTAGGAAAAAGACTAAATAGAGTCACATTAATTGTTGACAATAGTTTTCTGTGGGAGCTGGGATTACAGGTAAATTTCTTCCTTTTCCCTGCCTGGACAAAGGCTTCGGGAGCCAGGCTAGCAGGCAGGCTCCCTCTGTCCTGGGGGCACCCATACCTCAGGCACAGAGACCTCACCCCACTGCTTTATAGGGATGGTGCCCCTAATGAATCTCTCAAGATTAGCTCTCATATCAAAGTCCCCAGGTGACCTTTCTCTCCCTCTGTCCACCCAACAAATTTCAGCTTTAACTGCTGCCACCTGCAAAAAATCCAGTCCAGTGTCTCAAGCCTAAATATACTACACTGTCCTCATTCACTTAAGGTGCCCGTTTCAGTCTCAGCAACTCTGTGCTGATGGCAGAGATCTAGAGGCACGAAGGTTGTGGGCAAATTCTAACACTCACCATCTGAGACCATCTCATCCTTTAGTTCCTAACCTATAGGATTGCCTGTATATCAGGGGGTGCATTTCAAACCCAATAAAAGTCATTGACAAACCACTTTTTGGTGGTTTGAAGGATGTATCAGGAAACCCAGCTTAAA